TTCAGGGTTTGGGGGTAGCTCTGTGTATCTGGGTATGTGTGTCTGTGTGTATCCAGTCTCTCTCTCTCTCTCTCTCTCTCTCTCTCTCTCTCTCTCTCTCTCTCTCTCTCTGTGTGTGTGTGTGTGTGTGTGTGTTGAACATCTGAAGTCCTGGTCTAGATCTGGAGGGCTGGGCTGGGCTGGGCTGGAGGGTGGGGGATCAGTGGTAGAGCCTTTGCCCTGACTTCCATTCCTAGCCCTGCAAAAAATAAAAGAGCTGGAGGTAGGTCACGGGCAGAACGCTCAGCGGTGGGTACTAGTGTTGGCTTCTAGGATTCAGCTGCTGTCAGTCCTTCGGAGGGTAGGGAACATTTCAATGTCCCTGAGCTGGAGCTTCAGCTGCGCCCAGTAGCATGGTGCCATCCCTGCACTGAGCAAGGCTTGAGGCATGCCCTTCTATATCTTAGCTCTGGAGGCCCATTTGCAATGGTGGCAAAGAGAGAGCTTGATAAAAGAAAAACTTCATTGCTTGGACCAGGTGGAAAACAGAACAAGTTCAGTGGTCAAGAAGCCAGTAACCGCCTAAGGACCATATAAAACTAGTTCAGGCAGTCTACTATGTGTGAGCATGCATGCTTGCATGTGCGTGTGAATGGGCGTATGCATGCCATTGCGCGCGAGCACACACACACACACACACACAGACACACACTGGCCTGAAAAGGACTTCAAATTTCTCCTGTGGGTCTCTGCCTCACTCCCTTGAGTTGGGGTCTCTCACTGACCCTAGAGCTTGCTGTTTTTCATCTAGGCTGCCTGGCTAGCTGGCAAGTCCCAAGGATCCACCCACCAGTCTGTCCTGCCCACTTCCACCCCCAGCCCTGGGTTTATAGTAGCACATTCATCTTTTTACATGGATACTGGGGACCTATGCGCTCTCATGCTTGCATGGCATCTTAGGGTTTATTTTGCTGTGATGGAATATCATAACCAAAAGCAACTTGGGGAGAAGAGGGTTTATTTCACTTACACTTTTACATCACAGACCATCATCAAAGGAAGTCAGAGCGAGAACCTGGAGGGGTGCTACTTATTGGCTTGCTCTCCATGGCTTGCTCAGTCTGCTTTCTTACAGCATCCAAGACCACCAGCCCAGGGATGGCACCACCCACAATGAGCTGGACCGTCCCACATCAGTCATTAATTAAGGAAGTGTGCTACAGGCCTGCCTACAGCCTGATCTTCTAAAGACAATTTGTCAATTAAGGTTCCCTCCTCTCAGATGGCTCCAGTTGGTGTCAAATTGACATAAAAAGTAGCTAGCCCACACGGCAAGTGCTCTAAACTGAAACATCCCCCAGTCCCTAGACAGCCTATTTCTAGCCCTAAGGCTAGCAAACTCTCTTCACTGTCTCTAATCACAGACCAGGAAAGTTGGAAGGCAGCTCAGCCACAGGGCTCCGGCTGGCCCTACCGGGGGGGGGGGGGGGGGGGGGGGGGTTGTTCTTTGCACCTCCCTAGCTGTGCCCAGCCCCAGCAGGGCTGAGTCATGGAAAAGTTAGTTCTGCAGGCAGCCGCTCACCTCTCCCATCAAGCCCCACAAAGGCTCCTTTCACGTTGTCAGGAGGGAAATGAAAAAAAGTGTGGGGCCCTCCGCCCAAGGCTGGGATGTGAAATTTCAACCTTCCCTCTGGAGTTAGAGTCTGCGCCTCCCGCCTCAAGAACACAGAGAGGAGGGGTACCGAGAGAGAAAGAAAGGGGGTACATATCCCATATCACAAACTTCCTACTGAAGCCAGGCCAGCCTGCTGAGTTGTGCACCCTTAGCCTAGTGTCCCCCATCTTCCTGGGAACTGGGGGGCAAGGGGGTTCAGATAGTTACAGCTCCTCTTTGGAAAGCTGATGCTGGAGGAAGCCTGAGGCTCACAGGAACCCAGGGACCACAAAATCCACATCCTGAAAGTGGACCATGTAGAAACAGGGCCATTACCTGCCTCCGGCTGGCTTCTGAATCGACAGTCCCTTTTGGAATTGCCTGGCAGGGTGTTTGTGTGTGTGTGTGTGTGTGTGTGTGTGTGTGTGTGTGTGTGTGTGCCCTCTGACTACATCTCAGACTCAGCAGGGAGCATCCTGTGTGGCCTTGCATGAGTTACTTATATATGTTGGGTCTAATTTCCCCCTGCTTTGAAAGGCCATGTGACACCCACCTCCCTGGACCAGTCACGAAGTTAGGGTGTGTCTAGGACACGTGTGAAGGTCTATTGGGGTTCTCAGTGTCTTCCACCTATTACCTGTCCTCTATCCCAAACACACACCTGTGGAACATGGACATAAGTCTGCCTGGCCACTCAGCTGCTCGGGCATCTGAACTGAATAGGATGAGTGACTGGATCTCTGGGTGTTAGTGACCTCTGCTATGAAACAGGGAGAGAAGAGGTTGAGCTCTTGAAGGCCTAAGCAAAAAGAAGAGCTCATTAGGCCCACCACAGTGCTGGAAACTGGGGTAGCTCGGAGGTGTAGTGTCCAACATTAGCCACTAGGTGGCTCCAAGGATAATAGATGAGGGCAGAAGCTATGCAGTGTGTTGGGGTCTCCTCGGCTGGAGTCTTCTACATAGGCCTTAGCAACTGCTGGGCACCAAGAGTCTGACTCTCCGCCACTGTGATATCTTTCCTGTTGGAAGATGGGGAGGAAATGGTCACTATGGTGGGATGGGATCTAATTAAGCCGATGGCCAGCCCTTCCGACAGGCCTTTAAAAAGAAGAATGGAGCCTGTCGGGCGTCCCTTCGCTGCAGTCCTTGGCCCAGCCTTCCCTCCACCTCTCTCCTGCCTTCTTGCCAGAGTGGGGTGGGGTGGGAAGAAAATTCGGTCTGGACTGAATCCCTCCCTCCTGCACTTCCTGGCTGGGTAACCTGGGAAATGGGATGACCAAGTCCCCAAGGCGAGGTCAGCCGGAGGGTGGAATGTCAGAAGAGAACACAGGGGTTCCGCCAGAGAGGGGTTCCCTAACCTTCATCCCTTTTGCTCCACCAAAAACTGCAAGTTCTCAGGCCCAATTTCTCCCCAGAACCACGGGGGTTGGCAAATGAGGAGGTAATCCCCACCCCCTCCCCAAATCAGCTCTTCTCAAAGGGACTTGCTCACACCCAGGCGGGGAGTATTAAAAGCAGTTAGTTCCCTGGGCACCCAGGGCCTGCTGGATCAGTCTTTGGGGCTGAGGCCCAGAACTCCCAGCCTGAACACGTCCAGGGCTGGAAGAGGCTGCCCCAGATTACAGGGCAGGCTCCCTGGCTGTCTCTCCTTCTCCCGCCCAAGGATGTGCAGAGGGGGCGGGCGGCAAGTCTCATCAGCGCTTTTAACTGGGCCTGCTTTTCATGACTCACCTCCTAGACTTCCCGCAACAGGCAACTCTAAATAGCTGGGACCCACCCTCCCAACCGGGAGACGTTCTTGTAAGGGGTGGGTAGGAGGTTACAAGGTGAGTGCCCAACAGGGCAGCGGGGGGTGGGGGCGCACCTAGAGAGGGGGAAACTGCATAAACTGAACAGTGGCACAGGCTGAAGACGTGTTGTTTACAGGCTTTTCTTATTAAGGAAATTGCTGTCAGTCAAGGTAATTCTAGCCCAGATAAGCAATAAATATGCTCCCAGCTAATCTTACGGGAATTTTATTGGCACCTGGGGTCAGAGGTTCCTTTACCCTGCCCCCCTTCCTCTCAAAGCAAAATCCTACTCCCCAGAGGTCCCTCCACCTCCGCAACGTGGGAGACTCCACGTTGGTACAACTTCGGATGTACACTCCGTGAAGGAAAAAGAGGACCAGGCAATCAATGACGAAGCTTGACTTCCTAGTCCTACCTGGAGGCACGGGGGATGACCAAGTGACCTGAAATGAACCCTTGGCGACCCAGTTGCATCAAGGCATGCGCGAGTTCTCCCTAGGCTTGCCCCGCACGCGCTCAGGGTGGTCACCTGGCCCGGGCTGGGAGGAATGTCTAATGGAGCAAGCCAGCTTGCCTGAGACGGTTCCAGCGTGTTTGGATTCCAGCTGGGAGCCCTCGGGGACTAGGGCGGCAAGTCCCGGCTTGCAGAAATGAGAAGCCAGTCCCAGGAGAGTGCGAGTCGCAGCGAGACCGGGTGCGCGCCTAGGCGCGTGCCCCGCCACGGCGCAGGGGGAGGGGAAGTCGCCGCAGCCACTCAGAGGCATGGTAGTGAAGCCTCCCAACAACTTTAACTGTCAATCAGACTTAATGGGGTATTAAAAAAAAAAAAAAAAAAAGGAGGGGGCGCCCTTTCAGTGGGTCCACGCCGCAGCTGCCCCGCGAACGAAGGAATACAGCGGTGCAGACTAGGGCGTCCTATCCACGCGTGCTCCACAAGCCGGCCCCGTCCAAGTTGGAAAGGACAAAAAGAAGGCAATAAATGCTAAAGGGGAGCGAAGGAGAGAGGGAGAGAGAGAGAGAGAGGAAGCCAGATCGAGCGGCAACTCCCAGCCCGGGCTGCAAGAGAAGGAGGCGGGAGCGGGAGAGCGGGCGCGCGCGAGGGCGAGCCGTGCACGGGAAGAAACTGACACCCGGACCCCCCACTTCTCCTGCACGGTGCTGGCAATCAGATCGCGTTTAAGCAATTTCCTGAGCCCAAGAATAGCAATGAGTCGGGAGACTTTGGCGGACTGAAATTGGGAGCTGCAATCACTCCCCAGGTTTCGTGTGTGTGTGGTGTTTTTTGTTTGTTTGTTTTTGTTTTGTTTTGATTTTTCCTTTTCTTGGAGGAAAGTTGGGGGGCGCTACAATTGGGAAACAGCTTTTTGTTTGTTTTTTTAATCTTGCACTTTGAAACCGCGGACTGTGGCAGTGTGCGCTCTTGTGGTTGGTGCTTTTTTTTTCTTTTTTTTTTTTTCCCCCCTTCCCTTGCCTTGACTAAACTCCTCTGTAGGTCTGTAAACATTACCTGTGAATTGCCCAGCCGAAACGGCTGTTGGGGCAAGGAAGTTCTAGAACTTCCCACCCCTGGCCTCCCCACCACCTCTCTCACCGTCCCAATCTTCTGAGACGCTTTTGCCCCCTCCGGAGCAGAGTTTATATCCTCCCCGCCTCCCCCCCCCCCCCCCCGCCGCCGCCGCCTTTTCCTCGCCCAGTGCTTTGCATCTGGAAAGAGATCAGTTCAAGAGTGGCCAGGTGGGACGCCTCTCTTTTTCTTTATTTAGCTTATTTATTATTATTTGGGGTGTTTTCTTTTTCTTTTTTTTTTTTTTTAATTTCTGTTTTGCTTAGTCCGGAGAGTTTCGTCCACCGCCTCCTACCTCCTCCCCCCACCCCGTGCCCGGCTCCGCCGCGCAGAGGATGGTGTGGAAATGGCTGGGCGCGCTGGTAGTGTTCCCTCTGCAAATGATCTATCTGATGACCAAAGCAGCCGTGGGACTGGTGTTGCCCCCCAAGCTTCGGGACCTGTCCCGGGAGTCAGTCCTCATCACCGGCGGTGGGAGAGGCATCGGGCGCCACCTCGCTCGGGAGTTCGCAGAGCGTGGCGCCAGAAAGGTACGCGGCGTGGGGGTGGGGTGGTACTGCGACACCTGGAAGTGGGCGCCGAGGGTGAGGGGACTCTGGCTGGCGCGCGTGCGGGGGGGGGGGTTCCCACCTGCTGCGGCTGCGGAAACCAGCGCCCACAAGCTGAGAGTCTCGGGCCACCCATCCCTTGCATCACCTGGAACTGCTAAGCTAGCCAGTTTCAACCTTTGTAAATTTCCCAGGCACCAGAGTCTTTTTTGGCAAGTCCTGAGTTGATCGGCTCCCCAGAGATTGGTATCTGGCTGGCTATTTACCCCCACCCACCCCTAGACTTTGAACAGCCACCCATTCCGCCTCATGACTTCATCTCTAAGGTGTTGTGCCCCCCACCCTCCCCCACTTTGCCGCCACCCCGCTAAGTGCGGGGTGTGCGCGCCCCTGGGTAGAGCTGGAAGCCCTGACTGCTAGGTTGCACTTGGTATTTTGCTTGGCAGCTCGCTGCCTAGTCCAAACCTGGGCGGCTGCATCTCTGCAGGGACGTGAGAGGGGTTACTCCGTTCGCGTTTGAAAAACAGGGAGTTAACTTGGATGGTCTAGCCTGGCAGAAAGACTAGGAGGCCCAAGTGTTTAAAATCCGGAAAGAAGAGTGCGGGGGTAACCAGGCGCAGATAAAGAGCCCTTGTCCTCACCTTCAACCTTGATCCTCTCGCCCTCCTTAACAGAGGGGATCCTTCCCCACTGGATTAGGAGGTGGCACTATACCCCACTGTCCATTGCCTCTCACTTTGTGGGTGGCTGCAGCTCCCCTTGCTCCAGGTTTTGGAGACGTGCAGAAGAGTATTGGAGGGAGAGCCAGCTGTCACCCAACTTGCAACTGCAGACCGGGCTGACCCACCCAGTGGTGGCAAGAGCAATAGAGAGGGATTTGAGACCGGCAGGCCGGGCTGTCTCCATCCAGCCCGCGAAGACGAAGAACAAACTGGGGAATTAGTTTGAAATTTAAACTGTTGCTAAGGAGGGGGGTAGGAGGACCAGGCAAGCCAGCTGATCTGACATGGAGCTGCATACCTCCGGGATTAGAGTAAATATGCTCTGTGGAAAGCCAAACCTTCATGTAATTCCAGGTTGCTTTTGTTTTGTTAAATACTGCCCTGAGATTTACAATTCCTTCGGTGGCTGGGACTGAACTTTGGAGTCTGAACTGTCAGCCAAAGCTGATTGCCCATTAACTCTTCCCTGGCCAGGTTGTCCTAGAACAGCTGGGGCGGGGGTCGTCCAGCTGTCCAGGGCTCCTGAATCTCCTTGGGTGGTTTGGACAGCTGTTTAACCTTGCCTTTAGAAGGGGGCGTCTTTAACCCCTGGACTCGCTGAATTAAGGGGAAGTAAAAGTTGTTCTCAGCAGTTTCTCTTGGTGGGGGATCCCGGGGAGGGGGTCCCTGTGGAAGGCTTCCAAAGCCCATTGTGGAGAGGAACCAAGAGGGCCGAGAAGGGGACCCTTGGTGACAGTTGCTTATGCTTGACCCTAGTTGGCTGTGTATGCCCCAGCCTCATCTGACTCTTCCAGCTGGCCCTGGTCCTGCGCCCTCTCTTCTTGTTCTTGACTGCAGTAGGCTTAGGAGGAAGGCTTTGACAATCTGGAAAAACTTGACCGACTGTAAACAATCCTGAAGTGAAGGCAGGAGAAGGCGCTGGTTGGAGGAGGGAGCTAACAGTGCAGAGTGAATCCGACAGGTTCATACCCTGGAAGGCACAACCCCCACCTATCTTGGAAAGGACAAGCTTTTCCAGGAAACAAACCCAGGCTGATGAGAAATAGGCCTTTAATTGGTGGCAGGGTCACCCAAAACAAAATCCAGGGGGGCCTGGGAAACTCCCGGTGCCATTCACTTGGCTGGCAGAATAACCCCCTCCCCCGCCCCAGGGCTCCCTGGGATTGGAACTATCCAAAGTTAGTGGAGCCACTACACTGAGCAAGCCTTTCTCCAAGGGAATATGGGCTCCTGCCCTCTTGCCTGAGTACATCTGGGACCAGTGCATGGACCTTGGGACAGTCCCCAGAGCCAGGGCGGTGTGCACTGAGGTAGTCACCACCAGCAGCACTGGTGGAAGTAAAGGCTGACACTGAGAGCGCTCCCTGCCTGCATCTCTGGAGAGACTGGTCTAGGAGAGAAATGAGGCTCAGAGCCTTCTGCAAACAGAGAGCATGTCCAGGAGGGGGCGGGACAACCCAGTTTCCCATAATGACCTTGAGTTAAGTAGGATTTGCAAAATTTGTAGACCATGGAGAGCCTCAGCCTACAAAGCTGACCCAAATAAAGGGTTTCCTTTTTAAAAAAAGAATTATTTTGTTCGTGTGTGTGTGTGTGTGTGTGTGTGTGTGCGCGCGCGCGCACGCGCGCGCGCGCGCGCGCGCGCGCGCTTGCAAGTGCCTGTAGAAGTCAGAGGATTCTGATCCCATAGAGATGGAGTGCAACTTGATATGGGTGCCCAGAACTAAACTCTGGTCCTCTGCAAGAGCACCAAATGCCCTTGAGCACTGAACATCTCCCCAGCCCCTAACAGTTTGTCTTAAAGGGACACAGATATCAAGAATTCAGAAGTTCTTTATCAGGAAACAGCTCTCCCTCCCTCCAAGACACCAAGATGAGCAGAGACAGAAGCAGTAACCCTCGGGGATTCAGGGGGAAGTCCCTTGTGGGTTCATCCCCTGAGCAAACCTGTTTTAATTTTCTGGGCCCCTGTAATTGCTCCCCACAGTCAAAACTCAGGCTCATCCTCAAGTCTGCAAGTTTGTCAGGGTTTTAACATGCACTATTCGTGGAAGCAGGAGAAAGATTTATGAGGGGGTGGTTTGGAAGTATTTGGGCACCCCCAATACTTTGGTCCAGTTAGAGGCGAACGTCCAGACCATGACTGAAGACTTACAAAAGCAGGACCACTGGGTCCAGTATCCCTCCTGAGGACCCAAGGTCCCATTTCAGGAAGACAGTCTAAGAATCAGCTTGGAGTTGCATCTGCCTTAGTATTGGTGCATTTACAGGACATGTGGGCATGAAGCAGCTAGCCAGGACCTGGTCCTCGGGTCCATCTCGAAGTCCCATTCTGCTCCCGTGCCCCCTTCCTCTCTGTACCATCCTTTCCACTCCTTGTGGCTAAGCTAGAGACCCAGTTCAAAGCTTGCCTGTGGCATCTGGCAGGTGGTGGCACAGTTCCTGGCTGGGAGCAGGGGTGGGGGCTAGGTGGAGATATACCAAAGATTCCTAAAGACTCAGTGGCGCAGCTAGACACTAGAGCAAAGGCATGAATTAGTGTGTGGTCGCTTCCAGCGGCCTTTGTTGTGACTTAACCACACACCGGGTAGCTTAATGACAGGTGACTCGTGGGGAAGTGAAGGCGTTGGGCCTTCTCCACTGACTCTCTCAGCCTTTGTTGCTAATCATCAGATCTCACTGAGTGAAGAAAGTTGGGGAGGTACCCTGGGCCCCCATTTACAGGACACTGCACACCCACTTCCAAACTCCTCCACCAGCCCCCAGCTTGCTGCTGACCTGGAGAAAGCAGGCTCTGCTGTATTTAGGAGAAGGTGTCCTACCTAGGGAAGGGGTCTGGTTGTCACAGTCCCTACAAGCCATCCTGAAGCCATGTTGCCACCATCAGAGTCCTGCACAGTTGATGGGTTCTCCCTTACAACAAGGGATTTTCAGGCTCGAGAGATGGCTCATCACTTAAGAGCACTGATTGCTCTTCCAGAGGACCTGGGTTTGATTCCCAACATCCACGTGGCAACTCGCAACAGTCTGTAACTCCAGTTTCAGGGGATCCATGCCCTCCTCTGGCATCTGAGGGTACTGCTGCATGTGGTACACATACATACAGATAAAACACCCATACACATAAAAAAATCTCAAAAGGGGAGAAGGGTTTCTACCAACACTTAACGCAGGAAAAGACAGCCCTCCCAGCATGCCCTCACCAGGATCTTGGTAGTTAGTTACGGCTTGCCATAGTCCAGGTTTCTCAGGATACTGTAGGGAAGTACAACCAGACGCATTCACAGTCTTCATTCTCAACTTTAATCTTAATGCACTGTGAGTCTCTGGAAGTGCATGCTGACATCTGCTTTGGCTCCTGGCTCCTGGTGGTACTTGGAACTGTCAGCCTGGCTGTGATCATCTGTGTGACTGGTGACATGAATGATTGAAGTCACACACACACACACACACACACACACACACACACACACACACACGGTCATGGTCATAAGCATGACTGTCGTTATACACAACAGTCATCCCACACAGGGCTGTAACACTGTAGGAGAGGGAAGCATTACATGTGGCTGTGGCAACATCTATGACACGGTAACATACAGGACCACAAGCCCTTTTTGTATTCAAGTGGCCTTGACGGTGCTCAGAGGCAGATGTTACATGTAGCTTGTGTACAAAATGAAGACACCGTTGGGACCAGAGTCTCAGCTTTACTAGAAGCCAGCTTTGAACCCCTGATTCCCAGTTTCACAACCAGAGTTTCTCTTTCTAGGCCAGATAATCTCAGCCCCACCCAACTGTCTCCCTCAGGGTCACAGAGAGGTCAGGCAAAAGCTGTTAAATCCTGGGGCCTGGTATACAGAGGGCTCTGGAGGGGGAGTCTGGTGAGCAGGAGTCAACAGGATGCAGGCAGGATGTGGATAAACCCATTTATTCAAAGAACCATGTTGGGGTGTATTTAAATACAATGGGTGGGATGCTTGCCAAAGGGTCAGGCCGGCAGCCATCAGGGTTAATTTTAAGCCCGGCTTGTCCACCCAGGCTTATTATTCCAGGGCTTCAGAGCTAAGGCAGTCAGATCAGGAGCTACATAGCAGAGTTCTCTTTGGTTTGGTTTGGTTTGTTTGTTTTAAGACTTACTTATTTTATGTGTATGTATATATGCCTGCGTGTATATAAGTGCACCGCCATCTGTGTGCAGGTACCCATGGGGACCAGAAGAGCATCAGATCTCCCAAAGCTGAAAGTTCGTAAACTTCCCAGTGTGGGTGCTGGGAACGGAACCCAAGTCCTCTGCAAGAGCACCAAGTGCTCTTAACTGCTCAGTCATCTCTCCAGACTGCATAGCTGGTTTAAGACCATCTTTGGCTACCTGAAACTATCAACTACCCCACCCCCACCCCAAGAGGGAATGGCCACCTGCTATAGTGCCTCAGAGATACAGGGCCCACTGGCAAAGGATCGCTGCTGGGATTTTAGGCCCTAGAAAGCCAGGGTTGTCCTTTTTTTCCCAATATGCCAATAAAACAGACAAGTGCTAGCAAGCCGGTCTTTGGGGTACTGAAATGGGATTGACCTTTTTTTGTTTGTTTGTTTGTTGGGGTTTTTTGTTGTTGTTGTTTTCAAGACAGAATTTGTCTGTGTTGTTTTGGTGCCTGTCCTGGATCTCGATCTGTAGCCCAGGCTGGCCTGGAACTCACAGAGATCTGCCTGGCTCTGCCTCCCCAGTGCTGGGATTAAAGGCGTGCACCAATACCACCCGGCTGGGGTTGACCTTGTAAGTAAAGGACCAGGGATACACACAAGTAAGTCCTGGTCACATACACACACACACACACACACACACACACACACACACACACACACAGAGCGTAAATGTCTCTCTTTAGGTCACAGAATTAGTCCTCACTCCCTCCTACCAAATTTGAGGCCACTGAGCTAGAGTCTCATGCTAAGAAATGACCTGTGACCTTTGAACCTGCAGGGTGGAGAGGTCACTCTGTAGTGAAGGGAAATCTTGAGAGACTTCTGGAAAGGAGGCGATTGCAGAGAAGGCAGTAAAGTCCCACCTCATCCTAGGTGGTGTCTTGTGGGAATCTAGTAGAATCATTGTATTTAGGGTCAACATTAGAATGAATAGTTGTTTTTCATTGTATCTAGGGTAAACATCAGAATGAATAGTTGTTTTCTAGAAGTACTTGGACCTTGGGGAAATCACTGCGGGAAAACAGTGGTGGTTTTCTGTTTTCTGTTTTCTGTTATTTCTGAAGGAGCTTGACAGCCTTGGCATGACTTTGGTCAGCAGTCTGTCCTGGCACACCTGGAG